CCTGCGCTCAGCTTATGGGAGCTGATCTTGGACAGACCATTCCATCTCAAGATCCACGAGGACAACCAGGCGACTATCTCGTAGCAAAGAAAGGATTCTCATCCAAGCTACGCTGTGTCCAGCGCACCCACAAGGTGAACCTCGCGTGCATCGCTGAACAGCTGGAAAGCGAACACATCTCGATAGAATACGTCCAAACCGACATGCAGTCAGCAGACATCTTCACGAAAGCACTTCCACCCAACAAGTGGGACCATGCCATCCGGTTGCTCGGCATTCGTGTTGACCTTCCAGAGAAGCTTGAAGACGTTCGTGAAAGTAGATCCGCTAAAGCAGCTGCCTAGTGCGCTGTAGCATGTCCGCAAAATTTCCAAAAGTGTGCAAAGTGCCTGGGCGATGCTTGAATAACTTGCGTCAGTCTTTGTGGTGTAAACTTGACTTCAAGTTGGCGTGGTAATGCGCCCAAGACACTCCCTCAGTGCCGTCAATGAGGGGGGAGTCAATTATCACGATGACATTTATGGCCCAGAGGTACATGAGGTAGGTTCTCATGTAGTCAGTTGCATGTTGTACATTCAAGTCAATGCCAGAGCATGATCCAATCACTGCTTTGGCTCAAGTGCTGAAAACAGCGCGTTGCTCGCGCTAACCCCAAGGTTAAGGGAGAGGTCGCAGTCACGGAGGGGTTCGTTCCTTTTAAGGTCCCGGGTTCCCCCGTTGTTGACAAAACTGTGTTTCCCTCTCCTTTGAGTATTGTATTGTATTGTTTGTACGAATGTCATGCAATGTAATGGACTGGAATGGAATGGAATGTACTGTGGCGTAGTGTAATGCATGTATGCATGTTGTCTAATGTATGTAATGTAACGTAATGTACTGTATTGTAATGCAATGCAATGCAATGTAGTGCAATGCAATGTAATGTAATGTAATGCAATGTACTGCAATGCAATGTAATGTAATGTAATGTTGTAATGTATGTGTGCATGTAAGGTAATGTACTGCAATGCAATGTAATGTAATGTAATGTAATGTACTGTAATGTAATGTAATGTAATGCAATGTAATGTAATGTATGTGCGTAATGTAATGTAATATAATGCAATGCAATGTAATGCAATGTAATGTAATGTAATGTAATGTACTGTATGTATGTATGTATGTATGTATGTATGCAATGCGAGTATGTACCTCGTGTAATCTAATATAAATTACAGTGAGGCAATGCAATGTAGTGTAATGTAATGTATTTATGTATCGTATGTATGTATGTATGTATGTATGCACGTAATGTATGTATGTATGTAATGTATGTATGTATGTATGTATGTATGTATGTACGTATGTGTGTGTGTGTCATATGTATGTATGTATGTATGTGTGTATGTATGTATGTATGTATGTATGTAATGTATGTATGTATGTATGTATGTATGTATGTATGTACGTACGTATGTATGTATGTATGTATGTATGTAATGTATAAAATGTATGTATGTATGTATGTATGTAATGTATGTAATGTAGTGTAATGTAATGTAATGTAGTGTATTGTATTGTAATGTAATGTAATGTAATGTAATGTATGTATGTTATGTATGTACGTAATGTAATGTAATGTAATGTACTGTAATGTAATGCAATGTAGTGCAATGTACGTATGTATGAATGTATGTATGTATGTGTATATGGTATGTATGTATGTATGTATGTATGTATGTATGTATGTATGGTATGGTATGGTATGGTAGGTATGTATGTATGTATGTACGTATGTACGTATGTATCTATGTATGTATGCATGTATGTATGTATGTTATGTATGTATGTATGTATGTTATGTTATGTTATGTTATGTAATGTTATGTATGTATGTAATGTAATGTATGTATGTATGTATGTAATGTAATGTAATGTAATGTAATGTAATGTAATGTAATGTAATGTAATGTAATGTAATGTAATGTAATGTATGTAATGTAATGTAATGTAATGTAATGTAATGTAATGTAATGTAATGTAATGTAATGTAATGTAATATAATGTATGTATGTATGTACGTACGTATGTTATGTATGTATGTATGTATGTAATGTACTGTATGTATGTAATGTATGTATGTATGTATGTATGCGTGTAATGTATGTATGTATGTATGTAGATAGGTATGTATGTATGTATGTATGCATGCATGCATGTAATGTATGTAATGTATGTAATGTATGTATGTATGTATGTACGTACGTATGTATGTATGTAATCTATATATGTATGTAATCTATGTATGTATGTAATCTATGTATCTATGTATGTATGTATGTATGTATGTATGTATGTAATGTATGTAATGTCTGTAATGTATGCAATGTATGTATGTATGTATGTATGTATGTATGTATGTATGTATGTCTATGTATGTATGTATGTAATGTATGTATGTATGTATGTATGTATGTTATGTAATGTAATGTAATGTAATGTAATGTAATGTAATGTAGTGTAATGTAGTGTAATGTAGTGTAATGTAATGTAATGTAATGTAATGTAATGTAATGTAATGTAATGTAATGTAATGTAATGCAATGCAATGTAATGTAATGTAATGTAATGTAATGTAATGTAATGTAATGTAATGTAATGTAATGTAATGTAGTGTAGTGTAATGTAATGTAATGTATGTAATGTATGTAATGTATGTAGGTAGGTAGGTAGGTATGTAGGTATGTATGTATGTATGTATGTATGTATGTATGTAATGTATGTAATGTATGTATGTGTGTATGTATGTTATGTTATGTAATGTAATGTAATGTAATGTAAGGTAAGGTAATGTATGGTATGTATGTATGTATGTATGTATGTATGTATGTATGTCTGTATGTATGTTATTATGTATGTCTGTATGTAGGTAGGTAGGTATGTATGTATGTCTGTATGTAATGTATGTAGTGTATGTATGTATGTATGTATGTATGGTATGGTATGGTATGGTGTGGTATGGTATGGTATGGTATGTATGTATGTATGGTATGGTATGGTATGGTATGGTATGGTATGGTATGGTATGTAATGGTATGTCGTGGTATTTCGTGGTATGTCATGGTATGTAATGGTATGTAATGGTATGAAATGGTATGTAATGGTATGTAATGGTATGTAATGGTATGTACTGGTATGTAATGGTATGTAATGGTATGTAATGGTATGTAATGGTATGTAATGGTATGTAATGGTATGTCATGGTATGTCATGGTATGTAAGGGTATGTCATGGTATGTCATGGTATGTAATGGTATGTAATGGTATGTAATGGTATGTAATGGTATGTAATGGTATGTGCTGGTATGTACTGGTATGCAATGGTATGTACTGGTATGTACTGGTATGCAATGGTATGCAATGGTATGTACTGGTATGTAATGGTATGTAATGGTATGTAATGGTATGTAATGGTATGTAATGGTATGTAATGGTATGTAATGGTATGTAATGGTATGCAATGGTATGTAATGGTATGTAATGGTATGTAATGGTGTAATGGTATGTAATGGTATGTAATTGGTATGTAATGTATGCAATGGTATGTAAAATTGGTATGTAATGGTATGTACTTGGTATGTAAATACTGGTATGTACTATGGTAATGGTATGTGACTGGTATGTAATGGTATGTATGGGTATGTAATGTATGTAATGTAATGTAATGTAATGTATGTAATGGTATGTAATGGTATGTAATGGTATGTAATGGTATGTAATGGTATGTAATGGTATGTAATGGTATGTAATGGTATGTAATGGTATGCAATGGTATGTAATGGTATGTAATGGTATGTAATGGTGTGTAATGGTATGCAATGGTATGTAATGGTATGCAATGGTATGCAATGGTATGTAATGGTATGTAATGGTATGCAATGGTATGCAATGGTATGCAATGGTATGCAATGGTATGCAATGGTATGCAATGGTATGCAATGGTGTGCAATGGTATGCAATGGTATGCAATGGTATGTAATGGTATGTAATGGTATGTAATGGTATGTAATGGTATGTAATGGTATGTAATGGTATGTAATGGTATGGTATAATGGTATGTAATGGTATGTAATGGTCTGTAATGGTATAATGGTATGTAATGGTATGTAATGTAAATGGTATGTAATGGTATGTAATGGTATGTAATGGTATGTAATGGTATGTAATGGTATGTAGTGGTATGTAAAGGTATGTAATGGTATGTAATTGTATGTAATGTCATGTAATGGTATGTGATGGTATGTGATGGTATGTGATGCATGTAATGTATGTAATGCAAAGTAATGCAATGTAATGTAATGTAATGTAATGTAGTGTAGTGTAGTGTAGTGTAATGTAATGTAATGTAATGTAATGTATGTATGTTATGTATGTTATGTATGTTATGTATGTTATGTTATGTTATGTTATGTTATGTTATGTTATGTTATGTATGTAATGTAATGTAATGTAATGTAATGTAATGTAATGTAATGTAATGTAATGTAATGGAATGGAATGGAATGGAATGGCATGTAATGTAATGTAATGTAATGTATGTATGTATGTATGTAATGTATGTATGTATGTAAGCAAATAAGTAAGTAAGTATGTAATGTAGGTGGGTAGGTAGGTAGGTGGGTATGTACATATGTATGTGATGTGTGTGTGATGTATGTAATGTATGTGAAGTATGTAATGTATGTATTGCAAATAGTGTATGAATGTATGTACTGTGCTATGTATGTACCGTATGTATTTATGCTTGTGTGTGTTTGCTGTTTCTTTTGCTGTGTGTTGCTTTGTTCTGTTCTGATTTGTTCTTTGTTGGTTGTTTGTTGGAGTGTTCGCGTGTTCAACCAATCGCAACAAAGACATGCAACACAACAAAACACAACAAAAGAAACTACACAAAGCAAGGTGGTTGGTTGTTTCTTTGCTTGTTGTTCAAGGAGAGTGATTAGTTTCCAAACCAACCGCAGGTGATCTTTCGCTTCATCAGCACCAACATGTTCTTGGCCACGCAGTTGAACACCTTTGCGGAGCTGGCCGGGATCTTTGCCAAGCGAGGCGTTGCCAGTATTTTCCGACTAGGCCCGATCCGGTCGCCACTGCTGGCTTTATCAGTGCAGTGTTTGGCTGTCTAGATGGTTCTACTTCCTATTGTCTTTCTGAATACCCCTTACCTCGCCATCTTGGTAGCAGCGCGTCAGGGGCTGTCGCGCTCAGGTCGGAAGGAGCGACATTGCCGAGGCCAAGAAAGAGGCAGCTGCCAAACTGTGGCCAGCTTAGGCGTTTTGAGATTTGGGCTCAGGGCTGGGCTGGCTTGGCTTTCAGCTTGTGCCTTTGCTGCGTGCGGCGCTCTGCAGCTTTGTTGGTACTAGCCGAGAGCAGTGAACCTTCTGAGGGGCGCGAAGCAAGTGCGATTCCCAAGCAAAAACGAACTGGAGGCTGTCATGATGGGTTGCGGGAGGACCAGTTTCGCAAACTCGCAACGAGCGCAGTGCAGGCGAACCTGGAGCTGGAGCGCCAAGCAGAGAATCAGGCCTGGCCGAATGAACCAGAGACTGAGATAGAGGGTTCTAGGCTCCGGGCGAACAGAGGACAGAAGGTATCCATTATCCATTGCTCAGGGTTCCCCGCAAAGAAGGGCAAAGACATAAGCCAGGGCACACAGCTGGGTATCTGACTCAGCCTAAGCCAAGGTGGTTGTGAAGCGAATCCTTGGATCTGGGGCTGCTGTGAAAGCCAATGTCAAAGTTGGAGACGTCGTGTCCAAGGCCGAACAGAAGCTGCGCGCTGTAGTTGTGTCGGGCCATTTCAATACGATCACTGTGAATTTCGCGCTGGGAGCGGGATTGGCAGGTGAACAAACAGAAGATTGATTGGGCAACATACCTCCCCGACGAGGACGATGATGAGCATGTCGAGCTGCTTGTTTATAGCTATAGGCGATGTCGCTTGTTGATAGCAAGCTTGCTCATAGCAACTGTGGGCCATGCTACATGGGTGATTCTCCTCCTAGTTGGCCTCTACCCTCCTCCCAACAACATGTAGCCTGAACGTCATTGCAGGTTCCATGAAGGATGGTGAGTTGGTAAAGCCAGTTTTAAGGGGTGCCCAATTTCAAGACCGGTACCAAGGCGAGCTTTGCACGGTCCTCAGTGCGAGCATATGCCCTCAACATTCAGACTCCGTATGCCCGAGGGAACCAGAAGCAGATGGATCCGTCACCCTCATGTTCCAGGACGGCACAGCGCATGAGCTTCTATCAGTATCAAGCTTGCCTACTGATTGCAAGGGGGATGGTAGTTCTTTCAAGTGGTTTGTTTTTTTTTTGACAAAGGCCAGGTTTGAGACCACCGTATTCACTGGTGGCAGCGCAGGCATGCAGATTGCTTGCTTCAGGATCCTCCAAACAGGGGGCTGCTGGCAAAATTCACGCAGGTGGGTTATGCTCAAGAACTATGTCCTTGCTGCGCTGTCTACTCTGCGGATGTTTGTTTGGTTTCCAGTTGGGCTGTCGGGCCCATTGAATACCCATGCCAGGCATGCTGCAGCTGCGCCTGGCACTCAAAGTGACTTTGGGCCTGTTGGCACATGCTCCAAAGCTCAGCCTTGTTTTCGTGGAGCTTGTTTCAATGGAGTTTCCACATGCTTCAGAGCTTAAGGGCGTAGTGCATACGTCCAAGGGCCAGCGTCAGAAGGTCAAGCCAGGTGCGATCTCATGGATTTAGTTGTCAGCTCTCGATGGCTGCTTGGAGTGCTTGCATTTAGCCCCATGACCTTTCGTCAACCTTGGTAAGTCTTTTGGTAGAGCAAACTTTACGTGCTCCAATGGGCCTGGGGGGACGGCAGGCCGAAAACATCAGCAGCAAGCTTATGCAAAACATCCGTTTATGAGGCGGGCAGTGCACATCCAGCACAAATGTGAAGGGCGCCAATATGTGTATATATATATATAATATGCAGGAAGCACGCGCACGAATACCATCAGTCGCTCCTCATTCTGCTTCCATAGATTGTCCATCAACGAGGCACTATCATACCATGAGCGTTTTGATTCATTTCTCCATCCAGCGATCTTTCTATCACAGGTTCATTGGTTGCTTTTTGGTTTTCGTGCGTGTTCTACTCTTTGAGTGCTTGTTTGGTTGCTTCTTTGAATCAAATAATGTGTTTTTCTTTTGACTTGTTGATGTTTGGCTTCTTGGTCCTCGTGTTTGCTGTTTTCTTCTTCGTTTCTTCGCTCCTTTTTCAGCTACTCAATCTCTCCATTGTTTGATTTTCCTGGTATTTGCTTTTGTTGTCCGAGTCCTTTGTGTTTAAATCTCTGAGTCTCTAAACTCTTCTACTCTTCGACTCCTCAGTTCTTCGTGTTGTTTGGTGTTTTTTTTTGTTTGTTCCGTTCTGCAGTCGTTCATTCTTGAATTCTTCGGCTTCTGATTCTGTGTTCCTTCCGCTTGGGCTATTGATACTGTGCTTGTTTGCTTCCTTTTGTCATTGTTTGACTCGTTGATTTGTCACGGCTTCGCTCTTTGTTGATTCTACACCCCACTCATTCGAGTTTTGAGTCTTGGATTTATTGATTCTCGGATTTACTCATTTGCATCGCTTGCTTCTTCTACGCTTTGAGGCTTTGATTCTTTTCCGACCTATATCTTTGCTTGCTTCTTTGGCTGTGTGTAGTTTTGATTCTTCAGATGCTTGCCCTTGCAGCAGCATTCTTCGCTGCTTCAATTCCTCAGTTCTTCGGTGCATCCATTGATCGATGCTTCAGGGCATTGCACGATGGCGTTGCAATTGCCTTACCTTGTGAAAATCCTAAACTTGCATGCGCTCATGGTGGAGGGATTGCAATCGAAAACACGGACTTTCCCTTCTCCGTCCCGACCCCCAAGATTCCCACGCCGACCACCCCATCCCGCAACAGCTTTGTTGTGCAGGCTCCGGGGCCTTCCTTTGACCATTCTGTATCCTCGTGCCCCATAGCCTCGTCAGGTTCCGTAGCTGAAACCCATTCGCCATGTTGGAAGGGGTTCCATTTCCTGCGCTGATCAAACAGCTCGCCCGCAGGGGGAAGGGGGGGGTGGCCTGGCACAGACCAAACCGCATTCTTCTTCGGTGGGGTTCGCGTGGGCAGGCTCCGTTGTGTGGGAAGTGTCTCATGTTGTCTCGCGTGGCAACCACTTATGCCTGCAAGGCTTGCTTCTCTCACCCTTTCAGTGCTCGGCCGTTCGATCACTTCTGCAGTTTTTCATCCTTGGGATTTCGGTGTATTTCTTGGCTTTGATTCTTCAAACCTCTGAGTTTTGTTTTTTGCTTAAGTCGGCCCCAAGGAAAGAAAGCAATCTGCTAGTGGGGACAGGGGCTGGGGTGGCAGGAGGATTATCAAAGGAAGTTAAGCACAAACTTACATAGTCAAAAGAAGTTTAGAAGAGACTTACGCGGTATGGCAACTAGTGGAAGGCTAGTTCTCTGACAAAGACAAGGGCAGAATAGTTCTCTGACAGAATAAGAGAGAAGAACAAGCTCGAACGAGAAAACCGTGTGTGGGTGGGGGAATAGAAATGTGAAGTTAGCCTGATCTCGGGCTCGGAGCGCGTTTGGTGCGATCTCGGAGCGGTCTCGGAGCCGGGCCCATTGGCACGAACGCGCGCGAAAGGCAGGTTCAGATTTCGTAGCCGGCGCAGCACTTTGGTAAAGTTGTGTGCAGACTTCGTGGCAGGCGCAAGCACTTTGCAAGACGGCAGACAGATTAGGCAGAAAGATTTGACTAGATTAGATTGCGGTAGAATAGGTTAGGACCAGAGAAAAAGCTCCTTGACGGTGGTTGGCAAGTTTCCCCAACAGCCGAAAGCTAAAGGGCCTCAGCGTGGTCTGGTAGACAAGGTGTAAGGTTCAAGGAAGGCTCCGGAGGCTCGGGTTCCGGGGTGGTCTGGTGTGGGCCGTCGGTGGTCTGGTGCAGGCCAGGTGAAAGGCAGGCCAGGTGTAAGGTTCAGGCAAGGTTCTGGAGGTTGTCGGGTGGTCTGGTTGTCAGGTTCCAGCAAGGTTCCGCAGATTTCTGGGAAGTGGTTTGCCAGAGGTCTGAGTTTTTTTTTAGGGACCCTTTCATGGACATCATTCCCTATTAAAATTCATAGCCAGATAGTCTGTGGGTGCTGAGCGGTTCCAAGGAGGGCTCCGAAGCTGTTCCGAGGCAGTTGCGGTTGTGAGTTGCGGGGCTCCGAGGGCGCAAATCCTGACCTTTTCGTTTAAGCGGGGGTTGCGTCAAGCAATCCCCGATGGCCGAGGAGTGCGACGCAACGAAGCTTGGGTACGCCCCCTACAGGAAACCTTCGGCTTGGAGAACCGCTGTATCTCCAACCAACACGGACGTGTAAAAGCCAGTCCTGAGCTGGAACTCATTTAGAACTATAGTTACCACTTGTATGTTTGGCAGCACCAAGGGTTACAAGGAGAGATAGCTCAGGTGGGAGGACAGAGAGGTGAACGAATTAATTAGATGAGGTTGGGTAGATGGAGAAGATCGCTAAGATAGGTAGATCAGACGTACTATGGGCAGAGATAATATGATAAGATTGACAGATAGATAGATAGATGCCCAGAGAGAGTAAGAGAGAGAGAGAGAGAGAAAGCGAGAAAGCGAGAAAGAGAGAAAGAGAGAAAGAGAGAAAGTGAGAAAGTGAGAAAGTGAGAAAGAGAGAAAGAGAGAAAGAGAGAAAGAGAGAAAGAGAGAAAGAGAGAAGGAGAGAAGGAGAGAAAGAAAGAAAGAGAGAAAGAGAGAAAGTGAGAAAGAGAGAAAGAGAGAAAGAGCTCAAGAGAGAGAGAAAGAGAGAGATAGAGAGAGAGAGAAGAGAGAAAGAGAAAGACAGAGAGAAAGAGACGAGAAGGAGAGGGGGAAAGAGACGTGCTGCGAACTTTTGTTGTCGTATTTTAAAACTTCCGCTGCCCGGCTCTGCTGAACCGTGCTGGTAAACAGTAAAGCCGAGGGCAAGTGTAGGACACTGCTTACTCAAGAGGTCAGGAATTGGAAGTTCGAACTGCGCAAGGCCCCCAGAACCGAAAACCATCAGCTGCAGTTTTCGAGTTGAAGTTGCCGGGGGGTGGGGGGGGAAATACAAAGTTGCGATTGAACTGGAGCTGCGGACGTAAACTTTGCGTACTACACTTGTGCTAGAGGTGTGCTTGCGCTACAAAGTTGTGATTTTCAAGCTACAGCTGTACTTTGCGCCTAGGCTTGCGCTGCAAAGCTGACATTGTCGAGCCGGAGCTGTGGAAAAGTGCTTCGTGTGCTACACTTGTAGCACAAAGTTGCGATTTCGAGCTAGAGTTGCGGACGTGCACTTCGAGTACTACATTGTGCTACAAAGTGTTGTTTGTCAAGCTGGGAATGCAGTGTACTTCGCATACTAGATTCGTTTTGTGCCGCAAAGTTGTGATTGTTGAGCTGGAGCTGCGGAAGTGCACTGCGCCTACCTCTTGGTATGTAGTGGTTGCGACCATGTTGCAGGTATGTCAACACACTGTAGAACGATAAGGGCGATTCTCGCAAGATCTCTCCCGAGGCAAAGCAAGAGATTTCGTCAGGCCCTCGCGTGTACTTTTTCAGAAAGTTGCATTCCTTTGCGTTCCCATGGCTTACCTGGCAAACAACAAATGCGAGCGCGTCAAGGAAGGAACCGACTATTGTCCAAATGTGTTTCAGGTTTTCAAGTCTTTGTGTTGGTGTCGCAGGCCCATTCATAAGGCGCGCAAATTCTCCGGTTGCCACGTACTTCCGCGGTTTTTGACAGCAACGCTCGCCAGAGTACGCCATGACGCGAAGTTAGGGGCATTTACGCAAACAAAATCGTGTTTCTTCCAGCTGCAACTCCAAAAAGGGCCAGAAAAGCGTCGACAAATGAGGAGTTGCCGCATATTTCCCCGCACCCTGAAGCGTTGGAAGCCTGTTGCAACTGGTTTTCCGGTGAGTTCAAGGTGATAAGCCTTAACAGCGGCTTTTTAGAGCCTCCGGAAGCCATGCGTTCAACTTCCCATACGTTCTTCCCACAGAAAGAACCACGTACATCTGTCACCTTGCCGTGGTGATCGAGATTTCTCTCCTCGCCAGGCCAACAGTGCGGAACTTCTGGAGATCTCATGGTGTTTGCCTCAGGATGCAGCTGGGTGACAGCGGACTTTGAGGAGTGGGGATGGGGTCATGTGTCAACACAAAGGTTATGTTTGATGGTGGGTAAGACAGAAGCACCCTTGCAAGTAGCTACAAGGAAAAAGAAGCACAGAAGTGTTGAAAGCGAAACATTTGGTTTGATTTGAGCAGGTGCCATTGCGCGTGTGGAGAAAGAATCTGAGATGGTGGAACACCACTCGGACGAGGCGCCGAATCAAAGGAAGCTGCTAGTGGCGGCCAACTCATTCTCAGCCGCATCAGAGCAGGAGCCAGTGAGTGGCAGTGATGATGAGCAGGCAGAAGGCGCGTGGCGAATCCCACGAAAACGGCTGTCACAAGCATCACACTTGACTTGCTCAAGGCGAGGAAAGAATTGTGGAGGAGCACATGCAGGATCAGTGGAGTTGTCCTGCGGAAAGGGCAGAATGCTTTCTTTCGGTATCCAAGACAATATGTCTAGAAGTATCCAGACAGGATGGTGCTCGCGCTCGGGCGCGTGCCAAGAGGAGGCCGTCACCTCTGAGCGCGTGCAAGTAGTTGCACACTCCAACCAGCATGTTTGAAACAACATTACTTGCCCTTCTGAGATTCTATGTGGTGCTTGCAAGAAAACTGCAGGATAGACGGATTTCTCTTCTCTCGATGGCCTGAAGCCAACAAGCCGAAGGTGCCATGCTACCGCATGTGAGATGCACTTAAGTGCATGCAGCGAAAAGGAGATGGGCGCTGCTGGAATCAATCTAGAAGGCCGATCTTTCAAGGGGTTAGACGGTTAGACATGACCTGCCGGGTTCCGCAGAACTGGGGCGAGATGACTCGGAGCTGTTGGAAGAGGACATCATCCAGGTGGGGGGAGGGGGGCAACGGTGCGTGCTTCGACACATCTGCATTCAAGCTGGGCGAGCAACGCAGGATTGAGCATGCCCATTGGTATATTCCAGGAGGGGTGGGATGTGGATGAGCTGACGGATATCATTGAAGAAATGCCGATAACAGGCCAAGAGGCGCACGCACAATGCCTCTCAGCCGAGAGAATTTGTTTGTGCCAAAGGTGTGGCTGGACTGCCTTCTGGTTGCGCTAGAGGAAGAGGTGTGGCGCCAGGGCATGGAGCCGATTCGGCAGAATCAGGGAAGCTTGAAAAACACCCTTTGATTTGTGGCGCCCTCGCTGGCGTCAGCCAGGTGATAGAGGAGTCTCCTATCATCGAGGTCCTGAAAACCAACGGGCTGCAGGTGAGCCCGAGGGGAAAATAGTTCGTGCGCAGCAAAAAGCCAAGAGTCGCTAGCATTCTGGCCGAGAGGGGGCAGGGAAAAATACGACATGCCTCCTCTCGAGGAAATGTCCAAAGCCAAGCTGAAAGGCTGGTGCCTCGGCAAGCGAAGCTTCCTGTGGTGGAACTGCCCAAGGCCCTGCGCGAGAGAGGCTGCTGAAGTTCTACCGCCGATTAGATCAGGCCGATTCATAGTCGTTGCTATTCGGCTTTTCCTGTTGGGAGTTGTGTAAGAGCTGACCTTTGTGATCTCATTCGCAGAGCATGATAGCCGATGGTGGAGTGACTCCGCCCGTCATGGCATATCGGGCTGCAGCGTTCGTCCCTTTGTGACCACACTTTGCTGCTCTCACTTACTGCGAATCAAGACTGCAAACCGCAGCCAAGTCGCTTTCTTTCCCACCTGCCTTCTCTCTTTGTCTAAAGACAAAGAGAGAAGGCAGGTGGGAAAGAAAGCGACTTGGCTGCGGTTTGCAGTTAGACTCTAACAACCAACTTGGGCAGATCATTGGGCAACGCACTGAGGACCGGCTTGATTCTTTCTATTGAAAAATAACCGCTTCCGAAAGCAGCCCTGTTGGCTATGGCATGTATCCAGATCCATGCAGGTGCTCCGAATACTGGAGAACAAGGCGTACCGGCGGTACTTCCAGAACTTGCAGCACCGCCCTTGTGGAGCAGTGGTTGTGGTTGTGGCGAATGCACAGCTAGGTAAATATGTGCCTTTGGGGAAGTTCCCACTAATTAATATGCACCCTTTCGGGAGGGGCTACTGTACCAGCCTGCATTTATGTCTGTGTGATGTTTTGAGATGCAAGGGGCATAAGAGTGTGTATGTTTGGGGCACGTAACCTGGGGCGGAGACTTATTTCCCTGGCCTCCATGATTGAGGCTCGAGAGCGAGCAGCGACAGCAGCTTCTGCTGCAGCAGAATGAGGCGCTGCCAGTCTGTGTTTGAGTGATGGTCTGTCTGAAAATGGGAAGCTTTTGCGAAAGCCAAAAGGGAACCAACCACCTGGATAGAGTCCATTCTGAGAGACATCATAGGCAGGGCCAACAAAATATCCAACATATCGTTTCTGTTGCAAGCAGAGATGAGGTGTGAAACAGCTGTAGGTCTTTAGCAGGTTCTCCCCGTGTATTGCAAAGGACAGGCCGTGCGACATTTGTGGGCCTGCTCTGCCAGGTCCTCCATGACTATGTGTGCCGGCCACCAAGTCATCCAAGTCTTTTTCGGGACCTTTGACTTCGCGTTTTAGCTCAGAGCTATACAAGCGCAGGCGAGCTAGAGAAGGAGTTCTCCGACATCAGCGAGACCATCCACAATTACAAAACCAAAAAGGAGCAATGCTTTGTCTGAGCACTCGTCTCAGCAGGTTCTTCAATATTTTGTTTGGGGTCACTGGAATTGTCCACAGCCTTTGGATTGCCATCCCCTTGCCATCGTCCTGTGGCACTGGAGTTCTCTCCCAGGTCCCAAATCCTTTGTCGATACAACTTCGGCGCATGTTACATCACATTCGCCAAATGGCAAAATATATGAAATCAAGAAGGAGCCTCGTGAGAGTGATGTGATCTTCCCAGGAGTTGATGCTGAAAAAGCTGGCTGGCTTGCTGGACCGGAGCGAGTGCGCTTCACAAGTCATACATGTAAGGGCTGCCGCCCTAACTTCCTGCAGGGAAAACTCCGTCATGGCCGGTTTCGGTCAAGCCCAGTCAGTGCTCTGAGGCCCTCGCTCTCTGTTTGTTTTTTGTTTCTGTTGGTTGGGCCGGTTCAGGCAATGCGGCGATGCGGGAATCCGGCGAGACTGATGTTAGACGCTGGATTGGAAAAGCATGAAGACAAACAGGGACCACGACAGAACATTGTACAACAGGGCAGACGCTAGATCAAAGCAGAAACTAGAAATTAAACAAATGCAGATGGAATTGCACCAAAACAGGAATCCATAGAAATGGAAACACGACTGGGCAGCAATGGGATCAAACAAGTAAGGAAGAGCAAAGAAAGAGAGAGGGCAACCAGGGGAAAAGAAGGAATAAAGAAAACAGGAAAGACGCAGGATCGGAAAAGAGGAAGAAAGAATGAAGAAGGACAACTGGGCAGACAACGGGTCAGCAAGGAGGAACAAAGAAAGAATTGGGCGAACTGAACGAAGAGAAAGATGGATTGAAGAAAGAAACAGAACAGCCGGGGACGCAGAGGATCGGAAAAGTTTGAGCAACTGGGCACTGACAACAGCTGGGTCTTTTCGCTTCCGGGTTATTTCTCTGTTTGTCCGTTCTCCGGGTTATTTCCAGAAGACCCTCTGAAAACTAGGAGCTTCAGGTGTTTCAAATGCATGAATCAAAAAGCAGGAGTGGCTTGCAAAAGGCAAGAGTGAAAATCAAAAACTGGAGTTCTTGCGGTAAACAATTGTTCCCCAGATAGCTGAAAGCTATAGGGGTTCTAACTTCTAATAAAGAGGGAAAGTGATTTGCGAGATTGAGGGCCGGGTGCTAGGGGGCATGCAGTTTGAGGTGCTGGTGGATGCTGCTTTGCGAGCTTGACGGCCGGGTGCTAGGGGGCATGCAGTTTGAGGTGCTGGTCGATGCTGCTTTGCGAGATTGAGGGCCGGGTGCTAGGGGGCATGCAGTTTGAGGTGCTGGTGGATGCTGCTTTGCGAGATTGAGGGTCGGGTGCTAGGGGGCATGCAGTTTGAGGTGCTGGTGGATGCTGCTTTGCGAGCTTGACGGCCGGGTGCTGGGGGGCATGCAGTTTGAGGTGCTGGTGGATGCTGGCCGGGTGCTCGGGGGCATGCAGTTTGAGGTGCGCTTGACTGCCGGGTGCTAGGGGCATGCAGTTTGGGGTGCTGGTGGGTGCTGCTTTGCGAGCTTGCCGGGTGCTAGGGGGCATGCGGTTTGGGGCGCTGGTGGATGCTGCTTTGCGAGATTGAGGGCCGGGTGCTAGGGGGCATGCAGTTTGAGGTGCTGGTGGATGCTGCTTTGCGAGCTTGACGGCCGGGTGCTAGGGGGCATGCAGTTTGAGGTGCTGGTGGATGCTGCTTTGCGAGCTTGACGGCCGGGTGCTGGGGGGCATGCAGTTTGAGGTGCTGGTGGATGCTGCTTTGCGAGCTTGACGGCCGGGTGCTCGGGGGCATGCAGTTTGAGGTGCTGGTGGATGCTGCTTTGCGAGCTTGACTGCCGGGTGCTAGGGGGCATGCAGTTTGGGGTGCTGGTGGGTGCTGCTTTGCGAGCTTGCCGGGTGCTAGGGGGCATGCGGTTTGGGGTGCTGGTGGGTGCTGCTTTGCGAGCTTGACGGCCGGGTGCTAGGGGGCATCAGTTTGGGGTGCTGGTGGGTGCTGCTTTGCGAGCTTGACGGCCGGGTGCGAGCTTGACGGCCGGAGGGGGCATGCAGTTTGGGGTGCTGGTGGGTGCTGCTTTGCGAGCTTGACGGCCGGGTGCTAGGGGGCATGCAGTTTGGGGTGCTGGTGGGTGCTGCTTTGCGAGCTTGACGGCCGGGTGCTAGGGGGCATGCATTTGGGGGGCTGTGATGCTGTTTTGCATGCTGACCGGCCGGGTGCTAATGCAGTTGGGGGTGCTGGTGGGTGCTGCTTTGCGGGTGCTACGGGGCATGCGGTTTGGGGTGCTGGTGGGTGCTGCTTTGCGAGCTTGACGGCCGGGTGCTAGGGGGCATGCAGTTTGGGGTACTGGCGAGCTTGACGGCCGGGTGCTAGGGGGCATGCAGTGTGGGGTGCTGGTGGATGCTGCTTTGCGAGCTTGACGGCCGGGCGCTAATGCAGTTTGGGGTGCTGGTGGATGTTGACGGCCGGGTGCTAGGGGGCATGCAGTTTGGGGTGCTGGTGGGTGCTGGTTTGCGAGCTTGACGGCCGGTTCTAGGGGGCATGAAGTTTGGGGTGCTGGTGGATGCTGCTTTGCGAGCTTGACGGCCGGGTGCTAAGGGGCATGCAGTTTGAGGCGCGGGTGGATGCTGCTTTGGTTGTACCGGGTGCTAGGGGGCATGTTTGGGGTGCTGGCGGATGCTGTTCGCGTGTAACGGTTCGTGGCTGGTGTATCGTCATGATGTTCCCACGTTATGGTGTGTGGGCGTAGTGGCACCGTGATGCTGTCAACATCAGGATGATGCAGAATTTCATTAAGCTGTCGCAAGATGGTTCGTGGCTGTGGTATCATCATGATGCTGCCTTTACCATCAGCATGATGCTGTTCGCAATCATGATGCTGTCCGCATCATCATGATGCTGTCCGCATCATCATGATGCTGTCGAACTCATCAGGACCTCGTTTTTGCTTTTTTCCTTCCGGATTGCTCTCAAAATCATCATTATGCTGCTGATCTCATTAGGACGTTGTCTGCGCGTTTGTTTCGTGGCTGTGGTGTCATCATGGTCTACATCATCATGATAATGCTGCGTCATGGTTCGTATCCGTGGTGTGCTATCTGGGGTCTATGCTGGTGTAATTTTTTTTGGTTCTTCCAATCATGCAACTCTGTACACTATCGCAGCAATCATGCAACTCTGTGCACATGTGTGGGTATTCCACTGATTTTACTGAAGATTCACTCTCCGGAAACTCTGTTTTTTTCCCAGTTGTTTCTTCCCGTTGTTTTTTTTCTTCCCCATTTTTCCCCCGTTTGTGTTTCTTGTTTTTTGATTTGTGGGAGTTTGCGGCGGGTTTTTGCGGGAGTGTGCGGGCTTTTTGCGGGTGTGGTACTTTGCGGTTGTGCCAATTTGTCGCCCAAAGGCGCACATTCTGAAGGAAATGGGTCCAGACGGAGTAGGATAGTCAACATGCCCATTTTTATGATTCCTTTTGGAGGGATTCGCGCGCAGAAAGTCTAGTCATCCAAATCCTTCAAGCTTCCAGGTACTCCAAGTTGGATTCCAGGCGGAGCAGGAACTGAAGTAACTAGGTGCACAAAGCTGCACTTGTTCCTCGCGGAATTAGCGCTGACTTCCCACCTGGCCCTCATTAGACTTGGATTTAGCTTTCGTATCTACTATCAGAATCGCAGAGGATGTCGCAAGGTGTGGGTTGTAGAAGGCTGCCGACTTGCACAGACAGGCAGCACCTGCATGAACAAAATGGCTCATTAACAATGAGCAAAAAGCGACCAGCCTCGATATGCTGAGAGTATTTCACCATGAGATAGGAGTGTACAAAGTCAACATTTAGGTGATCAACAAAGTTGATGCCCGTGCGAGACGCTATGTGCGAGTGAAAGGTCAGCTGTATTAGAAGGGTGTTAGATGCCTTGGCTGTCATCAGGAGGGCTTGACGCAGTGCGACCTGCAATGTGTGGGAAGCATTCTGGCTTAATCATAAGACAAGAGCAGCTCAACTAGACTGCACCCGGATATATAGTTGCTTCCTGTGAGAGCAATTGGGAATGATAGAAATGCCTCGTACGAGATTTGAGAGACTCAGATTCAAGCACCTGAAGAGCGACCTGCATGCTAGAGCATGGCAAGGGCGGATTGTATGGACTCCTCAAGGTGCTGCAGAACGACACTATGCAAATCAAGATCCCTTTGTAGGGCCTGTTGCTTGTGATGAGGTGGCAGAAGCTCGAGAAAAGAAACTGACAAAAAAAACAGACGAGTGGCACAGCATCCAAACATGCAATGAGCCAGTGAAGCGAGGTGCCTGAGCTGAAGAAAGAGTTGGCGCGGCGTGGGCTTGACCCAATTGGCAAGACCCCCAGAGAGAAGCGTGCACACCATTTTCTTCACGATGGAGGTGGACTTTTTCAACATGGGGTTGAGGGTGGGCGCTGATGTAGTGGACTGTGACAGGAACCCGCAGTGAGCTAACTGCACGTCTTGCAGAGAATGACGAGTCAGAGGCCAAAGAGGCGCTTGTCATACAGTTTTGGTGAAGGTTTTGTGCCCACTCACTGGTTTAGTCCATTTTGCAAGGAGGCGCCTGCCGATGATGATTCGGAGGTCGGCTTGATGGTTGTTGGGCAATTTGTTTCATTTGAATTCTTTTCCAAACATCCAGCATGTTCAAGCGCTTGGAGATGAACATTCAAGCTTTTGTAGCTGCCTGCATTTCGAGAGCACCAAATTCGTTATGCGCAGGTGAGCATCAACTTCGATGCATACGGTGGTGTCAAGCATGAGATCCCAGATGTCACACCAACTGCAGAGTTGCCTTCAGCGCTCGCTGAAGCGTCTATTGCGACATTGGACGCAGCAGATG